TAGTAGTAGTAGTAGTAGTCGCCGTAGTAGTAGTAGCAGCAGCAGTAGTAGTAGTAGTAGTAGTAGTAGTAGTAGTAGTAGTAGTAGGTAGTGTAGTAGTAGTATGTAGTATGTAGTATGTAGTATGTAGTATGTAGTAGTAGTAGTAGCAGTAGTAGTAGTAGTAGTAGTAGTAGTAGTAGTAGTAGTAGTAGTAGTAGTAGTAGTAGTAGTAGTAGTAGTAGTAGTAGTAGTAGTACAGTAGCAGTAGCAGTAGTAGTAGTCGTAGTCGTAGTGTAGGAGTGAGAGTAACAGCAACAGCAGCAGCACCAGCCGCAGTAGCAGTAGTAGTAGTTGTAGTCGTAGTCGTAGTAGTAGTAGTAGTAGTAGTAGTAGTAGTAGTAGTAGTAGTAGTCGTAGTAGTAGTAGTAGTAGTAGTAGTATTAGTAGTAGTAGTAGTAGTAGTAGTAGTAGCAGTAGCAGTAGTAGTAGTAGTAGCATAAGTACTGGCAGTACTGGTAGTAGTAGTAGTAGTAGTAGTAGTAGTAGTAGTAGTAGTGGTAGTAGTAGAAGTACGGGCAGTACTGGTAGTAGTAGTAGTAGTGGTAGTAGTAGTAGTAGTCGTACTAAACGTAGCAGAAGTAGTAGACCAGTAGTGGCAATACGAATGGTAGCGGCGATAGTAGCATTTGCATGTGTAGCAGTAGTAGTTGTAGTAGTAGCAGCTGTAATAGTAGTAGTCGTCGTCGCCATTGTTGCCGTAGTCGTAGTACCAGTCGTAGTAGTAAGTGGAGTAGTAGCAACAGTAGCAGCAACAGCAGTATTGATAGTGCTACGAGTACCCGTGGTAGTCTTAGCTGCAGTAGTCGTAGTAGCAGTAGCAGTAGCAGTGGCAGCAGTAGAGGGGGTAGTTCTATGTTGAGTGCCAATGGTAGTGGCAGCGGTAGTAGTAGGTGCTAAGTATAGCGGTTGCCGTAGTCGTAGGCGTACTCGTAACAGTATGCTTAGTAGTCGTAGTAGTAGTGGTCGGCGTAGTCGCGGTATATGTAGTAGCCGCCGTAGTTGGAGTAGTAGCACTAGTAGTACAAGTGGTAGTAGTCGCCGCCGTCGTAGTACTAGCAGTAGCTGTTGCAGTGGCATGTGTAGTAGTACTAGTAGTGGCAGTAGCAGTAGCAGGTAGTAGTAGTAGTAGTAGTAGTAGTAGTAGTATTAGGTGTACTACTACTACTACTACTACTACTACTACTACTACTACTACTACTATTACTACTACTATTACTACTACTACTACTACTACTACTACTACTACTACGATTACTACTACTACTACTACGACTACTACTACTACTACTACTACTACTACTACTACTACTACGGCTTCTACTACTACTACTACTACTACTACTACTACTACTACTACTACTACTACTACTACTACTACTACTAACTACTACGACTACTACTACTACTACTACTACTACTACTACTACTACTACTACTACTACTACTAGTACTACTACTACTAGTACTACTACTACTACTACTACTACTACTACTACTACTACTACTACTTCTACTACTACTACTACTACTACTACGACTACACTTCTACTACATTACTACTTTCTTGTCGGGGGATAATGCTGAGGTTGGTGGGAAGGGCGGGGGGGTTTATTATTGGGGGCATGCGGTTAACTCCCCATGGGGTTGGACCGATTCCCAGGGTCCTGCTTTTCATCTTGAGCCGCCTCTTGACAGCCCAGGGCCCCACAAGACCCATTGCATGAGTTGAGATCAACCAAGACATCCCGTTTTTTCTGTTCCTAGATGCGAACGCAGCGACCCGATGTCTTCTTCCCCATATCCCAGGATGAGGTTATTGTCTTTACTCCGACCGCTCCGACTCCTTCACACCTTCCTTCTCCTCCTCCTCCCCATGCTATTGTATGTAATGTGATGGCATGGTGTGGTGTCTTATGTGGTGGTATGGTATGGAATGGTGTGCTATGTTGTGTGTGGTCATGGCATTGGATGACATGTTAGTCAGTGCATGATATGTTTTGATAGGACTGGTTAATGTTAATGGTACGAACTGTTAGGGTATGGTGTGCTATGCTATGCGATGTGATATTGTGATGAGTGTGGTCGTAATGATGGTGGTGGTGATGATGCTGCTGCTGTTGATCATGATGGTGGCGGGGCAAGGTCTGAGGATGTCTCGAGCGAGGCGCGGGTGTCAGCACCCCCAGGGGGGAGCCACCAGGGGGTATCTCACTCCTCCGTTCGCGCCAAACTGGCGGGGATATCTCGAGCGGTTTGCCTTTTCGCCAGCGCAACATCCTCCGTTTTCCGAGCAGATGTTGAGGATGTCTCGAGGGAGGCGTTGATGTGCGCCCCCAAGGGGGGCCAGATGCTGAGGATGTCTCGATCGGTTCGCCTGTCTAGGTGGCCAGACTCGTGGCCACAGATGCCCCCGGATGTCACAGGAGGTTTCAGGAGGCATCCGGAGGCCACAGGAAGTAGCGTGCCCCAAGAGGCTCCAGGAGGCCCCAGGAAGCTCCAGGAAACTTCGGGAGGCTCCAGGATGCTAAAGGGGAGGCCACAGGAGGAGGCCCCAGGAGGCCACAGGACGCCACAGGAAGCGCCATGAGGCCACAGGAAGCGCCAGGAGGCAGCAGGAGGCCCCAGTAGCAGGAGGCTTCAGAAGGCCACAAGAGTGGCTTCAATCTCTTGTGTTTTACGTATGCTCATATAGACTGGGCACCACTTGAAGCACGAATCCTTTGTTTTTTGCGTACGCTTCTATAGATTAACATGCTCCTGTGTATACAATCCTAAGTGTTCTACGTATGTTCCTACAGATTGGGCCTCCGCTGGGGCTCGAGTCCTTGGTGTTTTACGTGCGTTCCTACAGATTACCCTTCTCCTGTGACGTCCGCAGCGTTTTATGGATGTCTGCTGATATAGAATGGGCTTCTCCTGGGGCACGAATCCTCCCAGGAGGCACCACACACGAGGCCCCAGGAGGCCCCAGGAAGCCCCAAAAGACCCAGGAGGCCCCAGGAGGGTCCAGGAGGCCCCAGGAGGCCCCAGGAGGTTTCAGGAGGCCCCAGGAGGCCCCAGGCTCATGCGCAGAGACGCACTCGTATTACTGAGACTTCTACACGCCCCAATTCATTCACAGTTCGATTCACTCCCAGACCGACAATACTCAAGCCCGTCTATATTCGAAAATTCTTGCGCCTAGACGCTCACGGCGGACAGGTCCATGCTAATAGATGCACATACGGAGAGCGCCACGCAGGTTTTTGTTTTCCATGCGGGCCCCCAGAAGAATCTCGACCCACTCCCGGGGACGGGCTTCTCGTCCCGAGTAGGTAGTCTCAATAATCCTCAGGGACGCGTGTTAGCCCAGTCTGTGTGTGCTACCCCGTTCGGTCCAGCCAGTAGATCATTGCATCGCCCTCTTCGCATCGAAGGGCCGAGCACACGTTGGCGCGAGCGCGCGCTCCGGGGACCATCGGCAGCCTCTTCAGGTCCGCACCTGGGCTTAGCGAGGGCCTGGCGGAGGCCACACAAGCGGCAAGACTCATGTCGGGCGTGTCCCGCTACAGGGGGATTTTCGACGAAAAATTAAAAAAATCCCATACATGCCCCAGAAAGGTCAAAAACTATTCCAAAAATTGTCCCCAGACTATGTTTTGACAATTGTTTGATTATGTTTGGGGTATTTTTTAGTTTTCGTCGAAAATCCCCCTGTGTGGGGGACTGGCCCGACTTCAGGCAAGCCGCCTCCGTCGCCACTGGCTCCACGCCTCGGAATCTCTGCGAGGCTTCCCCTCAATGGTCTCCGCCCGGACGGAGAACCCGCGGCGGCCCATCCGCCCTCGGGCCTTCGGGCAGAAGCTGGGCAGGAGGAGGGAGAGGAGGGAAAGGGAGGAGGAGGAGGAGGAGGAGGAGGAGCAGGAGGAGCAGGAGGAGGAGGAGGAGGAGGAGGAGAAGGAGGAGGAGGGGAGGGGGAGGAGGAGAGAGGAGGAGGAGGAGGAGGAGGAGGAGGAGGAGGAGGAGGAGGAGGAGGAGGCGGAGGAGGGAGGAGGAGGAGAGGAGGGGGGAGGGGGGGAGGAGGAGGGAGGAGGAGGAGGAGGAGGAGGAGGAGGAGGAGGAGGAGGAGGAGGAGGAGGAGGAGGAGGAGGAGGCGGAGGAGGAGGAGGAGGAGGAGGAGGGAGGAGGAGGGAGGGACGAAGGACGAGGGACGAGGACGAGGACGAGAAGGAGGAGGAGGAGGAGGAGGACGGAGGAGAGGGAGAAGGAGGAGGAGGAGGAGAGCAGGAGGAGGGGGAGGAGGAGGAGGAGGGGAGGAGGAGGAGGAGGAGGAGGGGGAGGAGGAGGAGGAGGAGGGGGAGGAGGAGGAGGAGGAGGAGGCGAGAGGAGAGGGAGGAGGAGGAGGAGGAGGAGGAGGAGGAGGAGGAGAGACGAGGACGAGGAGGAGGAGGAGGAGGAGGGGAGGAGGAGGAGGAGGCAGGGGAGGACGGAGGAGAAGGAGGAGGAGGAGGAGGAGGAGGAGGAGAGGAGGAGGAGGAGGAGGAGGAGGAGGAGGAGGAGGAGGAGGAGGAGGAGGGGGAGGAGGAGGAGGAGGAGGAGGAGGAGGGACGGAGGAGGAGAGGAGGAGGAGGAGGAGGAGGAGAGGAGGAGGAGGAGGAGGAAGAGGAGGAGGAGGAGGAGGAGGAGGAGGAGGAAGCAGAGGAGGAGGAGGAGGAGGAGGAGGAGGAGGGGGAGGGGGGAGGACGAGGAGCAGAGGAGGAGGAGGAGGAGAGGAGGAGGAGGAGGAGGAGGAGGAGGAGGAGGGAGGGGGAGGGGGAGGACGAGGAGCAGGAGGAGAGGAGGAGGAGGAGGAGGAGGAGGAGGAGGAGGAGGAGGAGGGAGGGGAAGAGGGGGAGGAGGAGGGGGAAGAGGGGGAGGAGGAGGCGGAGGAGGAGGAGGAGGAGGAGGGGGAGGAGGGGGAGGAGGAGGAGGAGGGAGTTGAACGATGCTCTCCTCCCATCTGCGGGCCCTCGGCCCCTGCTCCCAGTGCGCCCTTGCCGGCCGCGTATAGTTTTCCTGCCTGCATGGTTAGCCTGTTTAAGCTCGAACAGGAGATTCAAGGGCTATTAGGGCGGCTTATTAGGGCTGGATTCCCAATCGTCGGCGCCGCTTCGCGACAGCGTGGGGCTTTGAAAGAGGGGGAGGCAGGAAGAGTGAGACCGAGAGGGGCCGAGCGAGCGAGCGAAGGGGAGGAGGGAGGGAGAGAGAGACCGGTAAGGAAAATTGCATGCTTGAGAAGTGCAATGGTTGGAGCAGCAGTTGGGTTTAGTCCGATTTCGCACAGTACACCTTAGGCGATGCTTAAGAAAACTTAAGTTTTCGGCCAGAGTCTCGATTATTCTTAATTTGTCAATGAAAATCCTAAGAGTTTAATGGGAATGTTGGGTTTTTATTCAAGTTCTGAGACTATGAATTTCTTAACCCATGATTTCTTAAGCATTTCGCAAGGTGTAGTGATCTCATCGTATACGTCGAAAGTCGACGTATGGATCAGTAAACTTGCCGGGAGTGCGGCAGGCAGAAGAGCACCAGGCAGACCGGTGAGAGGCGATGCTCCACGCCAGTCTAGTGGTGCGACGTCCAGCGCGACGTGGCAAGCACAACCTCACTACAGCAGACTCGCGTCGTGTCGACGCAGCGGCGACCCCGCCGCGTGCGTTCAGGGTGGACCGTCGCCAAGCGGCCCAAACGGCCAGCACAGAACGATCCGGCTACCGAGAAGCCGCTGATCGTTCAAGGTTTGAACGATCCACGCGGTGCAGGGAACCAACGCCAGGGCCGTCACGGCACGAATGTGCCGCACACGCTCACGCGATTGAATTTCTCCTCCGCAACTTTTCACCACCAACCTTTGTTAAGCACGGGCGGGGCATGGAGCGATCTTGCGGTCGAGAAGCCGTCGATCGTTGACGGTTTAACGATCCACGCGGTGCCTGGAACCAACGCCATGGCCGCGACGACGAGAACTTGCCGCACGCGCCCACGCGCCCTCCCCTCTCCTCGGCAGCGTTGCACCCGCCTCTGGTGGGCGCGGGCGGGACGCGCCGCAAACACTGCAGGCGTGCTCGAGCCTCGGGCGAGGGGCCGAAGCGACGTGCGGCATGCCGCTGGCCCCGCCGATGCTCGCCTGGCTGGCCGCCACTTGCTCGCCCAGCTGGCCGCACGCACGGTCCACACAGTGCTCGCAGCCACCGTCGCAGTCGGCGACATGGCGCTTTCACCGCTGCCCCTCCTCAAGCGGGGCCGAAGCGAGCATGCAGTGGAGGCCCGTGCCAAGAGGCACCCTGCTTGCCTCCAGGGTGCCCTGGGCTTCGCGGGTTTCGATTGCTTTGCGATGGGCGACGCGACGTTCCCGCCCCAAAGAACAATGGACGTCCTGGGGTCTCAGGGTTGGGTTTCTCGTGGAAGCTGTCTAGTGGAAAGGGCCCCTACTGTCGGGGAAACGCAAGACCCGAGCAAGCCAGAACTCGGGTTTACCGACGTTTTTTTGACGTTCGCGTCCTGGATTTTGACGGTCCAGTTTTCGTGGGATGTCTGCAGCGGGAGTTCGCGTCAAATTTCAGATTGGGCCTCGTCACTTTTATGATGGCCCCGTCGGGCCAACCCGAGTCCCCCGTACCCGAGTCTTACGTCTGACCGGTAGGGGTCGGATTCGCGGGGGAGGGCTCTGGGGAGGGCTCCCGGGGTGGCGCGTCGAGTTCCGCCTCTCGGGGGCCTCTCTCGGGGCCTCGCTTGGCCTTGTCCCAGCGCCCTCTCGGCAGGCCCTCCGGGCAGTCTATACTCAGGAGGGGAAAAAACACACAGACACACTTAATCGCCGATTCCCAGGAAAATATGGGAAAATATGGGAAGTGGGGGGGGAGACAAAATCCGAGAAAATATGTGGAAAATATAGGGATTTGTTTTATTTGTGTGTATTTATTTGTGTGTCCCAGGGCCCCCTCATATAACCCGCTGTGGGGAGGGCCTCTGGGGCTGCCCCTCGGCTTTCGGAAGACCGACAAGGCGAGAGCACCAAGACCTTTCAGGGGCCTTGGGAAAACCAAAGACGTATGCCTCTTGAGGCCCTCTTGGGGTTCCTCCCGGAGCGGTCTCGGGACGTCTTAGAAGTCTCTGGGGCCGTCGTGGCGCCATCTCGGGTACTCTTCAGGCGTCTCCGGCGTGTTGTCGTCCTTCTTGAGCCGTGTTGGAGAGTGTCCGGGAGGCGACAGAGGGTGGGTTTCGAGGCTCCGAGGTCCCCCGCGGTGCGTTGGCGAGAACGTATCGGGATTCCCCCCCGTTTCAATTAGATTTTGGACCCCGGGGGAGAGGGAAATGAGGGACACACCCAGGCGGGTAGAGGTACCGGGTGTTGGATTCACCAGCGACCTTGGATCCGTTGAGACGGCCAGGCGTGGGGCAGTCACGTACAGTCGGGCAGGTGGTTGTGCCAATGTCTGTGGCCGCGCGGGCTGCCGTTGACGTCCTGCATACGGCTGTGGCCGTAGTCAAATGGCATGCCGCTGGTCCCGCCGATGCTCGTCCGGCTGGCCGCACGGGCGGGTGTGGCGGTGCTCGTTGCCGTGGTGTTAGACAGGCTTGTGGTGACGTTCGACATCGTGTTCATTGTCGCCGTAGTAGCCGGCGACGTCGCGCCTTCACTGTCGCTCGCCACCCACCCCCGAGGCTCGGGCCGGACGAAAGGGGGGGATTGGGAAAGGGGGGGTTACGGAATTTGCTGCATGCAGCTGGTTTCGGCCTCACCGAGGGGCCCATTCCTCGATACATGGTCGCCTCTGGCGCCGGGAGGCGCCGGGAAAATCAGCTACGCGAGCTGATTCTCAAACCCCCCCTTTGCTATCCCCCCCTTTCGCCCGACCCGAGAGGCGGGTCGGCGGACCCGTCAAGTAAGTAGTATTTAACAGGGCTTTGCAGCCGCCAGCAGCGCGGCGGCGGGCAGCCCCGCGATCTCGGGAGGCTTTCGGCGTCGAGGGAGGGGGGCCAACTGTCAGGAGGGAAAAAAACACACAGACACAATTAATCGTCGGTTCCCCAGAAAATATGGGAAAATATGGGAATTGGGGGGGAAGACAAAAACCCAGAAAATATGGGAAAATATGGGACATATTTTTATTTGTGTGTATTTATTTGTGTGTCCCAGGGCCCCTTCACAACTGGCAGGAGCGAGAACTACACGCCATGGTGGAAGCGGGTCCTGAGGATTGCCGCCGCTTTCGGGTTTCCAGGGCTGTCACAGACTTGCTCAAGATGAAGCGTTTGTCCTGGAGGAAGACGCCAGGGTCCAGGACCCGGTTCCTTCAGAACCCGTTTCTTTCGTGCTTTCATGCCCGTGAGTCAGGAGCGAAACAAGCAAAGTATGTGTACATGAATGTTCGTGGGTTTCATGAGCATGCATTGCGCAAGCGTTCGTAGCACGAGGCTGGCCTTGCGGACTGGGGGGCGTATTCGTGTGCGTGGCTGGGCGCGCACGTCGAGGCCAGCAGGCAGCAAGGGTGCAGTGGCTCGTCAGGGCTGCTGCCCCTGGCATCCCCTGCACCTTCGGCCTCGCATCCCTGGAGGGTTCTCCCTGCGCTACAGCTGTTGTACAGTCGGGGCGCTGAGGAAGGAACCCTTTTCGTTGGGGAGGGGCTCGGTGTTCCTTGGTTGTGTTGCAGTTCGCCTTTGGTTTTGCTTAGGATTTCGATGGGAAATCGAAGTGTAACTTATGGGAAAAAGGGGCCTCGTTCCTTATTTGGGGTTCCTTAGGTCAACGCCCCGACGGTTCGCCGCGGCGCTCCGAGGGCCCTGCCGCCTTGCCGCCTGCGAGGGCCAATCCTGGAGGCATCGCGGGGCGCGCCCAGATGGCATCATTCGAGCAGCCGCGCAAGGCCTCCAGGAGTTCCCTGATCATGCCGTGCATCATCATCGTGCCGTTCCTGCTGGTTCTGCGCGGGGTGCGGGCCCACGCCACTGGGCGCCACGGAAGACAGCGACGGGCGTCAGCTGTCGACTGCGGCTTCCGGGGGCCGGTCGGGGCTTGGACGAGAAGCCACGGGGATGGTCGGACGGGGCCGTTCAGGGCTGCGAGACACCATGGGGATGGTCGGCCAGGACGAGAAGAAGTCCGTCCCAGGGCGTTTCGAAACGCTCCCAGAAGCTTCCGGAACGCTCTGAGAAGGCCGCGGCGCCCGATGTATATTCCCCAATCAGAGCTTGCCTCTGTAGGGGTCCTAGCGGATTCATATGGTTAGGTTGGGTTTGTCGCCGATTTTCGCTGCACGTCCGGGTGCCCGGTTGCCCAGGGAGGCCCGGGTGCCCGGGGGGGGCCCGGGGGTGCCCGGGTGCCTGGGTGCCGGGGTGCCCGGGTGCCCGGGCGTGCCCGGGGGTGCGTTATAGCCCATATATATATATGTGTATATATACATACATATACATACATATATCTATCTATATATATATATATGTCTATATATATATATATATATATATTCCAGAGCCGCCGGATTTGAGAGATTCTCGATTTATCTTCACCTGGATCTATACTCGGCTCCGAGGTTCCCTCAGCTCCACATGGGGGCTGCGCCGACGGGGGGGGGCGAAAGCTGAGCGCCGCCGGGCCTGACTGAGAGAAACTGCAGCAAATTGTGAGATATATTGAAACACATCGAAACAAGTTGAGAGAAATGGAGACACATTGACATTGAACTTTCAGATAGATTGAAACACATCGAAGCCAGTTGAGAGACATTGAGACACGTTGACATTGAGTGATCATTCTGGCCCCGAAGGCGGTTTGTGGCAGTGTTTTGAGCGCCGTCTGGCTGGCGCTAGAAGCTGCACGAGGGGTCCGTGGCCCCACGTCTTGCAAGAAAGGTAGCGGAACTGATCGTTTGAGACCCAAATGTTGACAAATTATTTCGGAAGACCATAGTGCAGTATGATGGAACAGAAAACGTCTTGGAGGCAATTGGCGTCGGATGTCCGGGACAGTCGCGCGGATGTCGGCGGCGACGGGAAGGGCGAATACTCCATCCAAGGGCGGGCATTACACGCGTTCGCTGGGGAGCCTCGCCGAGGACATGGATCACCGGCGCCCTTGGAAGCGTGCACTGCTCCCCCCTGGGCTATTCGCCCCTGTTGCCGCCTCCGCAGCTGGTGGCTGCTTCAGGTCACGTGTGGGCGCCCTCTTTTCTGGGCGGTGCACTGCGCCAGCGGCCGCGCGAGCCACATTGCGCCAGGTCGCCGCCGCGCCCGTCTCGGAAGGTGGATCCGCCCCTGCCTGATATTTCTAGAAGTGTCCCTGGTTCAAGGTGCCCCCAGGATTCTCTGTGTGGCCCATGCGCCTTCCAGAGCACCCCTCACGAGGCCCAGGGGGCCCCAGGGGCTCCAAAATGGAGAGAAATACCTGGGGCACCTTGGGCAAGGAGCACTTCTAGCAACACCTGGTTTGCGGCGTCTGTCCCGCGACACCGACATTCTTGGGAATGGAAGGGCGTATCTCAAATGAGGAAAAATACCTATACCGCTACCCTCACCCCGTTTTCTTCTTTCTGGGCCTCCTGGGAGGCCCTCGTCGCCACCGTTGGATTCGCCCCGAAATTCTGGTCAGAACGCACCCCGGGAGATGTCCATCGGTATCTTTTAGTTTTCCCAGGAGAGGGGCGTAATTATCTCGGATGGGGCTACGACGAGGATGCATCTGCTTCAGAGCGTTCCAGAGCGCTCTCAGATCGTTCCAGAACGTTGCGAGAAGGCCGTGGCGCCCTGATGCATCCTCCAGAGCCGCCGAATCTCACACATTCTCGAGTTATCCTCACCCAATATCATCATCGTCATGGCTTCGTCCTGGTATCCATCGTTGCGTATGAAGCCGCATAATTTCTTAGCTAACCGCGTCACCGTGACAATATTACTGAGTATCCCCCCCCAGAGACGTCTAAGTTTATTATCTGCGGCCTGTATATGGTTTCAGTTTGGTACAAGAGGCGGGGAGGCCGAACTTTATGATCCCCCGGCAAAGTTATCCTGCTCCTCTCCTTCTCTCTTCTTCCTCCTCCTCCTCTTCCTTCTCTTCCTCCACTTGTCCTCCTTGTCTTCTCTCTCCTGTGTCTTCCGCTCCTCCTTCCTTCCTCCGCCCCTGGTCCTAACTTTGTTGCTGTCCCTGCTTGTATTTATCACCGAAAAACAACGGCCATGAGTACACTACGAGTTGGACACCGCCACAAACCGTTGAGTCTTACACATAAAATCCAATAAGTCCGATTTGTTTGATTTACTCCGGAAATCCTCCTCCTCCTCCCTTTTCCTGCTCCCTCCCTCTTCTCTTCCTCTCCGCCTCCTCCCCCTTTTTCCTCTCCTCTTCCTTTCTTCCTTCCTCCTCTCCTGGTCTCTTTGTCCTCATCATCTCGAAGAAGGCACCCCAAGAGGGATTCGTAAAGCACGATGCCATAGTATTTGACAGGATGTGTCTTCATCCCGCGCCTTAAGAGAGGCTCCCCGAGAGGGACCACTGTGCCATTACACCATAGTATGTCACAGGTTGCGCGCTCCTCCGGGACTCCCCCAAGAGGACCAATGTGCCACTACACCATCGTATGTTTCAGGTTTCGCTATTCTTCCAGACCTTCAGGGAGGCCCCCCAAGAGGGGCCAGGGTATCACTATACCATAGTATTCCGCAGGACTCGTGCTCATCCAACTCCTTCAGACAGGCCCTCTGGGGTGGCTTCGTCAAGTTCACCTTGGAGGTAATGCAACACCGATCCAAACATCCCAACATCGATATTTCCGAGGAAAAGTTGAAGATCCTCCCAGGACCCCGAACTTTACTATCCCCATGGGATTATTCTCTCGGGTGCGGGATTGTCCCGGCCGCGCCACTGCACGTGACACCGTGTACTCATCTAATTCGCCAGGCCGAGGGGCCGGGTTAGGTTTAGTATCGCCCGCCACCGAGCTCGCGCAAAGTTTTCAGGTACAGCGGGCCAAGACCTATGGGTCGCCCGCGAGGGGGTTATCTCGTCGACCAGTCGTCTTGCCCGCGACGCGCGTGGCGAAGAGTCGGGAAAGGCGCGTCCGGCGGTCTCGGCCGCGCTAGCTCTGGGGTGCGGGTTGCTGTTGCCAATGCTACTGACCGCTTGCACGTCCGATATTCGTCAGAGCCCCGAATCATCAGGGGTAACTCGGGTCAGGGCTAACTCGGGTTCGTTTTTCGGGATTCCGAACCCGAGTCATCCCGGACCCGAGTTACCCCGGATAACTCGGGCGCCCAGAGCCCCGAATCATCAGGGGTAACTCGGGTCAGGGATAACTCGGGTTCGCTTTTTCGGGAACCCGCACCCGAGTTACCCCGGACCCGAGTTACCCCGGATAACTCGGGCGCCCAAATTCGGATGCGACTCCTGGGAGGTGAAACTCAGCATCGGTGTTGGTATACCCGTGGTCGGGAAGCGGCTGAATCCCCATTCAGGTCCCGCTCAATTCGGCTTACGCCCAGGCTCGATCGGATTCGATCCCGCTCATTGGCATGTTCATTTGTTTCAATGGGTTTTGTTTCTTCTTACGAAGGCCTCCCACTGCTCCTCCTGGTCAGTGCCGTCTTTTCTCCTTGTCCCACTGTTTATTCCATCGGTTGAGCGTGCGGAAGCGAGGCAAGAAAAGCGTGGAAGCGCCATGCATTCATTGGTTCACGGATGGTGTAATCACATGTGTAGGCTAAGTGCGCAGTTGTTTCGGCAGACATTCAGTTGTTCGTTGCAAGCCCCGCAGGGCAGTAGCGCAGCAGGTCTGAGAGTACGAGGTTGAGTCGAATACTTGGGAGCCGGGGGGGCGTGTGCGGGATGCCGATGTGCACGATGTCCCGCGAGAGCGCCCGAAACTTGGGATGCGACTCCTGGGAGGTCAAATTTTGATTTTGCACTGGTCCGAAGTCCGGCTTAATCCGGCTTAATCCCGCTTAATCCCGGTTAGTCCCGCTTAATCCCGCTAAATCCCGCTTAATCC